TCTCTCTCTCTCTCTCTCTCTCTCTCTCTCTCTCTCTCTCTCTCTCTCTCTCTCTCAAGTGCGATCTAAATCTTGATATCTTACAGAAATTTATAATATTAGCTAATTTAATATAATAACTGAAAGACAGTAATTAATCACTTATTTCACTTATTTAGTATTAAAAACATTGTTGTTTAGCGCTTTTATTACTCCAGTTAGTAATTAATTACTGTCTTTCAGTAATTAAATTAATCAGTATCAAATTAGCTAGTATTAGATTTCTATAAAAGCAAATAATGTTTCTATGTAAATTATTAAATATTTTTCATTTTTTTAAAAAAAGTTTACATGTTTATCATGCGAATGTAAATAAAAAAGTTTTTAATTCTTTTATAAAATTGTAATTATAATTGACGAAAATATGCTTTGTATATTTATTGTTAGTATGCAATACAAAATATATACATCAAATATTAATTTGTGAGTACATGTGTGTGTCAAATCAAAGCGCTGCCAAGAAAAATTTTACACAAATGGACTTCAGTGAATCACGAGAGAAAAATGCATCCAATCGCTCATTGGACGCTTAAGCGGCATCTACGACGAATTTTAAGGCGCAAAATTTAAGCTTCAAACTCTAAGCTGTAAGAAATTACAGTGACCTTAGTAGCAATTTGTGGTGAAATATCAGTTAAACATTGGAAATATATTGGGCTAATATTTTGATAATATTATGCCAATAATTGTGCTACTAACGAAGCGGTTACGCTACTAAGTTATGAATGTATTCAAGTTATATCCAAGTAATACCCTGACATTGTGGATTCAGTCCGTTACTCCGCAGTCATCGCGATCTCTGTCGGCAAACTTCAGAAGCATTGTGGAATTGTCGGTATTGACAAATATCGTGGGTACGATACTACAAAAATTATCACAGCCAAGATATCAAGAATTCATGACTTTATCAACATAGCGAAACGAAAGATTTACTGTAAAGATTACTGTAGTAAATTTTTCCCTTATATCCATTTCTAAAAAAAATAATTTTAATTTTTATCTTGCTTTTTATCTTTCTTTAGTTTTTATCTTGTTTTAAAAATTTTCAGAAAAAGCTAAAGAGTAAATTAAACCAAGATTAAAGATTATTTACATTGGTAGAAATGAGCCTAAATAGAGTTTCTTATTCTTTAACGTATGCCTTTAACTTCATTAAAAAATATACTTACGTGTGATATATTCGTATTGTTCAAAAATGATAATATTCGTATCTTATATTACTTATCGATTCCGTCATATTTGCATAATAATAAAATTCAGGGTTGTATGTTTATGCAAAAATATAATATAATAGCTTATATTTACATTTGTACATTCGTGGACAATGAGATTACAATACTTTTTTCTTAATGAGCTTCGGAGAGCAGCCTACTCACCGAGTAAAACCTATTAAGAAAAAAATATTACAACCTCATTGTCCATGAAGTACAATGTGAACTGTGTAAACCATATATGTATTACGATCATCTATGTAAGTAGTGGGTGCATTCAGTAGAACACAACAGTTTTGCAATCGTATTATGATTATTTGCTGAGATAGGACCATTTCTCTAAATCTAAAAGTATAATTCAATTAGCGCGAAGAATACAATTGCAAAATAAATATTTTGCTGAACGCAATCGATCTAAGAAGTCAAAATAATGTCAATTTTGTCATAATATTGACTAATTATTGATCGAATTTGTATCATTTTTTCGTCATGATTCAATTATTTTAACTTTCTTGTTTTCCTTGGATGTGGATTTTTTAAGCCTACATATTCTTTGTCGTATTGTTGTACTATAAACTGCAATAAAACTGTTCGCATGTACATTTTTATTTATCAATATTAAAGTCAGATATATTAACAATTATAAACCTTAGTTAATTATTTAAAAATAATTATAAGTAACAGACTTTCCAAATTACAAAGTAATACATAGTTAAAAGGCGATTGAGAGTCAGACGCAATTGTAATTAAATTCAATTTAATAAAAAATAATTTAACAAACATTTCGGATCCTCCTCGGCCATTTTCAATGTCACACAATATATTTTATTTACTATAACTTTAAATTGCCCGGCTTTTTATCAATATGTCTAATCTATTGCATAAGAATCTGTCGGCTCTTTTTGGAATTTGATCTATTAATTATCTAATTACTTGATTATGAAACCACTGTGAACAACACGCATTCAATTTGGACTAAATGTATCTTCCAGGGAGAAGCTGGGAAATTTATCAAGTTAAATAGATTGAATATATTGTGTGACACTGAAGATGGCCCGAAATGTTTGTCAAATTGTTTTTTATTAAATTAAATTTAATTATAATTCTATCTAATTATCTGCGCTAGGGGTATTCTATATCGTTTATCGATAATTGTCGTTGTTTTTTTATCATACAAAATATCTGCGCATGAATAACACATAACCGACAACTATCGGTAAGCGATAAGAAGAGCATCCTTCTCCCTGTATTTTTTTACGTTATTCACTCGTTATATACTCGTTGTATGTTCATAACGACATTTTTATGTAAAATATCTGTGCAACTTTCAGCAAACGAGAATGGAAATTGAAATGAATTGAAATGGATTCAGAGTTTTAGAAATATTGATTCATGAATGTTAAAATGAATGCTTTTCAATCTTAAATGCAATTTTATTCATTTATAGAAATTGCATGGAGCCTATTTCTATGCCTTTCAATCTAAAAATAATATTAGCTTTTTCTGTGCACACAATTATGAATACTGTTCAATTCATAATTTTAAAATGCAGTTTTTCATCCAATTGCATCCAAATGAATCTAATTGAATTCAATTGAATCCAATTAAA